CTAGTTTGTGTCGAGTGGACGTTTAACACACTTTTGCCAACGATGTTGCAAGGTCTTGCGCCGGTCAGAAAGAAATTGTCTTCAGCCACCCTAAAAAAGTCGTTCAACATGTCATGAAACCGGGTAATGTTTTGTTGAATGGTTGCTGTTGGTGGCCTCCCAGAACGTGGGTCATCGTCAAGGATCTCCCTGCCTCTCAAACCTCTTAAATTCCACAGGTGGGGGGGGGGGGGGTCATCATTCCGAGAAGTAGAGACTATATCGGCATGTATCTATGTTGGGGTTAGTCCTTTCAGTTTCAGGTACTTGGTAACTGCCTTATAGCCAGTTATGTCCATTTCTGGTGATTTCAATGTGGAGGTTCACAAGATGGTCTGGTGCGAAGATAATAATAACAGCACCGTTATCGTGTCTATGATTCATTCAATCACTGATTGTACTTGTTGGTGGCAAAAGTTTGCTACAACCCAAATGACCCGTCCTTTACAGATTTAGAGGAGGGAGGGAAATGGAGTTTAACGTCCACTCGACACAAACTAGGTCATTTCGGGACTAACATCTGGTTTAATTTTTTTTTTATTTCAATTATTCGCTTGCGCGTAGGGGTCTTTAGCAGTGGGGGGAAACCGGAGGACCCGGAGAAAACCCACGAGGTAAGACAGGCGACCTTACTCCTTGTCACGTACAACCGGGGATTCGAAACCACGCCAGTTGACTTAATGACAGGCCTTTGATACAGTTTAGTCATCCATCGTATGTTTTAACACGATGCCTTCCACGAGGCTTACGTTTGATAGAATGGGTTTAACCATCAAGAGAAAGACGTTGGATCGCTTACCTTCCACGAGGTTAAAGGGACAATGACACTCTTGCTGGCTTGACAGCTCCAGAAAATAATAAAATAGCCTTATTCTAAGTACTAGATGTGTTAGTGTCTTACCTGTTGTGTAAATTATCCATTAAATCCTATTTTACTTGTCCAGAGGGTTCAAAAATATTTTTAAATCCAAGTCACATTTGAAAAGGTTTACGTCAGGCTTTCAGAATCATTTAGTAGAATTTTTCCAATTTTTGAAATTAGGTGTGTTTAGATGACATTTGTATCGTTAATTAATTGGAATACTGTAAAATAGTACAATTTGTTGACTAGAATAACGATTGGGACATATTATTCAGTTACAACAAGAGTGGTATTGAGCCTTTAACATTTGATAGAATAGGTTTAAACATCAAGAGTAAGACGTTGGATCACTAGCCCGGAGGTCCCGTGTTCAATTCCAGTGTTGGCAGAGAAAGTTCTTTTAGATTTTCTGGCGTGGTTTCCCCCCTGTCAGTGGTGCAGGACGGATGACCTAGCAAAGGACAGAGTATTCGTTTTGATTGGACAAATATCCGAGGTCCCGTGTACACATTGGCATGTACAGAAAATAACCTTTTTGTAGTTGGAATTCAATATAAGAGTAGGCCGTAGTGCTTTATCGAGTGGACGTTAAACCCAATTTTTTCAATATATCTTTCTCTCTCTTTGTTAGTTTTAAGGACCGAAACTGGAATGCTGCCTCAATAGTTTATGAAACAATTTACTTTCGAACCGATTGGATATGGACATCTGGTTACAACGGAGAAGACAAAGATGTATATTGTAGAAAAAAAATCATAGGTCGGTACCTTTATTATATAACTCCATAGGTGCCACAAGTAAATGTATCATATGGCTCCATAGATTCCACACGTCCCTTTATCATATAACTGTATAGGTGTCACAAGTCCTTGTATTATATTACTGTGTAGGTGTCACAAGTCCCTGTATTATATTACTCTATAGGTGCCACAAGTCCCTGTATCATATTACTCTATAGATGCCACAAGTCCCTGTATTATAATACTCTATAGGTGTCACAAGTCCCTGTATTATATTACTGTATAGGTGTCACAAGTCCCTTTATCATATTACTCTATAGATGCCACAAGTCCCTATATTATATTACTACACAGGTGCCACAAGTCCCTGTATCATATTACTCTATAGATGCCACAAGTCCCTGTATCATATTACTCTATAGGTGTCACAAGTCCCTGTATTATATTACTCTATAGGTGTCATAAGTCCCTGTATCATATTACTCTATAGATGCCACAAATCCCTGTATCATATTACTCTATAGGTGCCACAAGACCTGAGATTTATCAAAATACCAAAATACGCTATAGGTGCCACAAGACCTGAGGTGGGGAAATTTAGAAAGGGGCAAATTAGAATGGGCTGAAAAACTTAGTTAGCTGAAGCATGTTAAATCCATGTTGGAAGCATGTGAGAGTTAACCCTCTAAAGAAATATCAGGCCAAAATTTATAAATAGTATGCTGAAATGAAAATATGTCAAAAATAGTCATACGTATAGTTCTGGGGGAGGAAGGTCTGTGTATATCAACATCCACCTCCACCTGTAAAATACGTTCACAACGTGGAATAGCAATTTTGAAATGTCATTCCGAGAGTATTGATATTGTATTGTATTCATTGCATGTGACATAATAGGCGTTAATTAAGCAAAGTTGTAATACTATAGGGCCTATATACTGTAGAGGTTGTTTAAGTTTTCTAGGAGATGCTCTGTTTAATATTGAAGTAGTTAGCTAGTACTAGTGACAACGAGAACTAGGCTAACAAGGATAAGTCTGGTAGTTTAAAAATCGAGCAATGTCATCATAGTCCGATAATCCAAATATGGTAATCCTATGCGTTAGAAACGTGGACACCCGTCCTCCTGGGTGCCCATATATATACACTGTGTTGAAATCCAGGATAGCCTCTGCAAGATGACACCCAAATATGGCCACTATCTGAATGACATCCCATTCTTTCCTACAGTAGGACGCTAAACGCCATTTCATTTAATTTATCTAGAAACATGTCCCAAGTGGATGAGTCCGGATATCATGCACTTAGAACATACGCTATAAACACGACAATTACACTATACCTAGCTTTTAATTACATATATTAACAACTTATCACTGAAGTCACGTGACTTTTACACATGTCAAATTTAAAACAGTGTGAATACCTATTGTTTTTAATAACCAGACGAAAAAGAACAATGTGACATGTCAGATTACACATTCTTAATCACCCCGCGTGAACAATTTAAAGCAAAATTTAATTAATGAATAAAATAGCATTTAGCAAATATATATTTAACATTTATATTACGTTTCTAAAGTAAAATTTAATTACATAAAATTATATACGGACAAAATTCATCGTATATCGGACAGGGCCGTATGTAGGATTTTAAAAGTGGGAGTGCAGTAGAGTGGTGGGGCGCCATAGCCTCCACGTATGTGATAAGATCAGGGCAAACGAACCCATTGGCGTGTGGGCGCCCTTAAAACCGACCGACTGATCAGTGCCTTAAAAGCATTACTGTGTGATCATAATCAAGTGTATTATTTTATAATTGAAAGATTGTCAAATAATATTTGTTTTTTTGGAGGGGGTGGGAGCGCAATTTCTCGGGGCGCCTTATTTTCTGGGGGTTCAATGTACCCCCTGCACCCCCGCTAGATACGGCCCTGATATCCTACCAACTTTTCTAAAAAGTGTCTTATTCTCACCTTAACCTAGTATTAAACTCGTATTAATGACTTTGCGATAATCTCACAATTATAATGTGTAGCAGTGAAGTATGCGTGAGTTTTTGGTTAGAGTGCCTTTCCACATCTAACCACCGACGCATAGCATAGCATACTTCTACACACCCTTGTACGCTGTATGATCATGTCAAGACTTGATTATGGAAATTTCTAAGGTGTGGCTCTATCAGCTTCAACAATTCACATATCTCCAGCTCTAGACAGTATTACATTTACATAATAAAACAAGATAACAAGATAAAAAATGTGATTTGGATATTATGAGAACATAGTTTCGTAATCAAGGACATAGCGGAAGCCACGTTGTGTTTTTTTTATAAGGGCCTAATTATGTTCGATTAGATAAAGAGCTGGTCGTACTCGTTATAATAGTTTAAAACATAAATAATGAAAAGGGAGTATGTTGAACATTTTACTATCGATAATACATTTATAGTCTAGCCTCGGCTGTCATTGCCACGGTTGTTATGATAATAAACAAGTCTCGATTACCCATTAATACGTTAAATCATCAACAGCAAATAGTATTTAAATCTACAGACAATCTAGAATATCCGATTGCATGGAGAGTTTATTGTGTTCTTTGTAAGTTACTTAATGACTAATTAATTAGTTATATAACATTTAGGAATAATGGAAGACCTCCAATAGGCAGATTTAGCCTATACATAATGCCTGTTTAATATGATAATCGAATAACATTTTTCATGTGTATCTTTTAGCTAAACCAATAATAAGAAAAATAACATCGGATGCTGTTGACAACATAATAGATGAAAACTCCAGTGTTACTATTAACTGTTTGGTTGAAAGTATCCCGACGGCACGTGTATCATGGTCCAGATCACAACAAGGGGGACAACTCTATTCTGGTAGTCAATATACCATACCTAAAGCTAGTTGTAAACATACAGATAACTATACCTGTACAGCTAGTAATAATATTGGTCGACCTGTATCTAAAACTATTCCACTCTATGTTAGATGTAAGTATACAAGTATACAATTCAGTAAGCGGGTCTTGCTATATGATATCCTCTGGTATACAGTTCAATTCAGTAACTGTTTGTCTGTCCTCAAACTGGGTTTGCACAGAGTTATCTCGTTGGTTCACTTCCTGTTTTTAGCCCAGTCTGAGCAAAACAGTAGGACCTTAAACCCTATTTCATTTCATTTATCTCATTGGCGGTGGACACTGATACACAGGATATTATATAGAAAAACTGTATTTGGCCAGAAGAGCTGCGAGAAAGTATTGCCAGCCGCCAGCACTGGGTCGACATTAATATTACTAATCATTATATTCATTTTCACTGACAAATTGTTGTAATATTTTAGGTGCCCCAGTTGTTATGACTAAGCACGTTATAGTTATTATAACTAAGGATGTAATAGTTGTACCACTTGGAGAAACGGTTATATTACCAATGAACGTTTTAGCGTATCCACTTCCGGTATTCACCTGGTATTATCACCAACACGATGGCAGTAACCAACCAGTTACCACAGTAACAGGTGCAAGAAGTAAACAAAAAGACGATGGTCTATCATCAACATTAACTATACACAAAATTAGATACGAAGATGGGGGCATTTATACAGTTAATATTACCAATAGTCAGGGTGTCACCTCCAAGACGTACACACTATCTGTGATCTCTAACGAAGACGCAGTAAAGGAAGCTGTCGATGACAAGCTAAGAATTGGTATAGCTATAGGTTTTGGTAATGGTCTGGTTGTTTCCGGTATGTTATTTGTTATTATATGGTGTATCAAGAAGAGAAGAGATGCCATCAAGTGTAAGTTTGCTATATTTTTCTTGGTTCCTAGACAGAGAATCACCTCTGTTGTTGGGGTCAATATGAAATGAAAGGAGGTGGGTTTTTAACTTCCTTCTTTTCTGTACGAATCTGGTCAAAGAAACTGAGGGTCATGTGGTACACTATAGGCCTTTCGAAACGGCCTTATTGGCAACATGCGAACATCAAGGTGCTGAATATAATTTCAAAGTTTCCTATAAATGGAGACTGATGTCGTGCACCATGTAAGGTAAGAATACTCTTTCTAGAACGCCGGTATATTGGCGAAAGTAAAAGATATTTATTCGTTTTCACGCGAATGTGTGTAGTGTGAGGAGCAGTGGGTATTGGATAATATAGTTCAATTTGTTTTATTTTCAGCTAATGATAGAAATGGTGTAAATGACACAGTCAGCCCCCAGTCTAGAGATAATACCATCAGACATAGTTCTGTAGATACGGGGGATTCGGGAGAATGTGAAAATGGTGTTAATGGTACAGTAGGCTCCCAGTCTAGCAATATTACCACCAGACCTTGGAATAGTCCTGTAGACACTGATGATTCGGGAGAATATGTAAACACGCGACGTGAGTCTCGTTCTAGCTATAATACCACCAGACCTTGGAATAGTCCTGTAGACACTGGTGATTCTGGAGAACATGTCAAGTCACGACGTGACTCTCGTTCTAGCAATATTACCACCAGACCTTGGAATAGTCCTGTAGACACTGGTGATTCTGGAGTATATGTAAACACCACTCGACGTGACTCTCGTTCTAGCAATATTACCACCAGACCTTGGAATAGTTCTGTAGACACGGGTGATTCTGGGGCACGACTAAACTCACGACGGGACTCTCGTACGTCATTCTGCGAAGTATTGGGTGAACTCACTAAGAAGCACCAATCAAATATTTATCTACCAATGTCGGACCAGAGACAGGGTCGCTGAGTCTTTATCTCAATACACACAGCCACACCGTCAAAATTACAAAATTACGAAAAGACTGGATGATCAAACTATCGACAAACAACAAACCCTTCGGACCCTCTTCAAATAAAGAATGCAAACATGGATATCAGCAATCAATTAAATCGCTTCTATTTACATTTATGCTAACGTTTGGCGGCTTTTGTGTAGAAGTTTTTACCACAAGAGTTCCACAAGACATTGGACTTGTATATATAAATGAAGCAGTTCGACTTTGACTTAGAATAATTTTGACGGGGTGTTTTGGCTCCGTATCACATCTTTAAAATAATGGAGAAACGTATGAACTTTAAAAACAGAAATATGCTTATAATTGTATATACAGCTCTGCATGTTTATATCATCAAGCTTATGCGATGATCAGCAAAGTTACTGATTATTTGTCAATAACAAGTTGAAATTTCAAAGTTAAATGCCAGCAGCAGAGTAGCATAACTTTTTATTTCATTTCACAAAAGATGGTGTAGTTTACCAAGAAACATAAACAAATGGGAGAAAACATTAAGTATTGGATGTGGATGCACAAGTTTCAGGTCAAGTTTATCCCCCCCCCACCATTTTTGATTTTTGAAATATGCGGTTGTTTTCAGAACAAAATATATATCTAATAAAATATACTTGTTGAATTATTTTATAACTGGTTCTGTTATTAATAACTATTTATAGCAAGTTTATAAAATAAACTTGTAGTTTTGTTAAATATAACTATATTTTATTGCGGGAATATTATTCTATAACTACAGTGGTTTGTTATATCAGTAGAATATTATTCTATAACTACAGTGGTATATTATACCAGTAGAATATTATTCTATAACTGCAGTGGTTTATTAGATAAACTTGTGTTTTTATTGTTTATAAAATAAACTTGTGGTTTTATTGTATATTACTGAGTATTATTAAAGTATTATTTGTAGAGTATTTTGTAAGTATAACTAATACCCTGTGTTATTGTGTTTATAGTGTTCATGTCTTTTTATTTACCAGAAGTAAAATATCTCCAATAGAAACATATTCTTTCTTTACCATTCATTCTTACAGGGTATTTATACGCCCATGAGGACTTATATTGTCGTCACCCCTGTCCGTCCGCCTGGACAGTCTACAGGTCACCATTCATTATCCGATTTTGATCAAACCTGAAATATACATTTATCATACAAAGATCTTGTTATTTTTGATATTGGCATCTATCGGACCGTGACTTCATGGATTATGGCCCCTGGTTGTACGAAAAATCACGTTTGTAGCTTGCGGACCCTTGTATCTTAGTGATATCAGATATCAGTTTAGTAAATATATGATTTATTTACATCGGAATATAAAACAACTACATAAATACAACAGGAACTATACTATACCAGGAACATAAACGATAACATTAACATGGTACATTAAGACCTTTGCAGCGGCTGAACTCGGATGAGTCCGTACGACGGTCTCTCCATTTCTCTTCCTCCCGTCTCTCTGTCAGCAAACACCTGGTTATATAGCCTCCGACGATATGGAAAATAGACAAGACTCATGATCATATATGGAATTGTCTATTTATCATGTCATGGTATGATTACTGACCAGTGCGTATTCCTTTGAAGTCATGCGGAGCTTGTACACAGATCATATGTAGTTTGTAAATGACACATGAGATTAATTACATGTTTAATTAGACCATGGCCAGTTCGTGCCTTAACAGTTAAAAATATTAAGGTAATTTACACCAATTCGGGTGGAAACCAATTTCCACTTAAATAGGGGTAACTCGTAGCCTTTAGTAGTGTAAACCGATAACACCCATCTAGTGTAGAACATTACACCAATTCAAGTTGAAAGTGGTTGCCACATCCAGTAGTGTAACCTGCCTGATGCACTCAGGCAGTGTAATGTTACACCCGTTGGTGTAGATTAAGCATTATCCCTCAAGGATGGTTCGTAAATTATACCTCCATTTTACTTATTACACCAACGCGGGTCTAATTTGTTTTGTTGAATATTAATTTCAAGCCAACGACTCCCAAGTTCAGAAACACTAGTTGTCACACCCTCTAGAAGTCACAATTTTTTATCCGATTTTAAAAAGTGTTTAAATATGACAACTGGCGTGAAAATAATAGAAGATTTAATCATTTGAAATAGAAGATGGGTAGACGTAAATGCAGCTGCCAGGGCAAAATTCTCAACCACCGCATGGTAACGTTACCATAACGTGTATTCCTACTCTTTAATATAATGCAGAAACCACAGTTTTTAATATATATTTTTTCATTGAAGTGAAGCATTCGAGTAATAAGAGGTCGAATCCTGTCAAATTTCAACGATCTGCGACCGTCTGTTATGGAGTTGAACCACCTTTTCTGAAAACCTTGTGAATGTGGCAGGGGCTACTGATTTGAACAGATTGTTTAAAAATTTCGCGCCAATAATAGAAACAAAGCCCAATAATTTCCACAATCTGCGACTTTCCATCCCAGAGTTATGCCCCCTGTTCCAAAAACATTGTGAATGTGATAGAGCCTACGAACCCAATACAATTTCAAATTTGGTGAGAAGCATTGGGATCGTAGAACGTATGAACTGTCTGTACTTTCTTACGTGTAACCGTCTTCATGAGCACATTAGGCGCACAACAGTAGGACATTAAACCCCATTTTATTTTATTTCCTTTCTATTATGTGTATGAAAAGCTCGTGAACACGACATAGATCAGTTTGCCTGAAAGCATAAAGCATTCTTAACAAACCAGCTTTCCTTTCCGATAAGTTACTGCTTATGATTATCCCTTTTTTCGACGATTTGAGTAGCTTTGTTCTTTTTTTAAAAAATATTTCTTCCCATTGACCTCCCGACAATGGTAATATATTCAAAATATTTTAGTCTGTGTCGTTTTTCAGCACCACGGAGATATATGACATATTACATTCAACCAGATTTTTGTATGTTAAGAAAATCCCTTAATATAAGTGTAGAAAAGTTAAGCCTACATGGGAAGAGATATCAAATATAATAAAAAAAAAAAAATTGGTGTCGACTTTAAGCTAGATTTTTTAACTCCATTTACCAAGTATTTTATCATGTGCTGTAAATGTCAAGATAGTTCTATTAGCCGCTCACATTTTATAGAAAAACTAAAATACCGAGATTCTATTGGACATATAATAGTTTGTTTATTGTGGTTTTTTTTACTGTGTAATGCTGTTGATAGGGTAGTTATGTATCTAAATGTACAGTGTATTTAAAAAAAAATATTTGAGCTACAATATCTATATACACGTTCCTGTTTCATATTTAGATGGAGTTTATTGTCCCTTTAACCATACTTGAATTATCCATTACAACAACTCGTCACTGTCGCGTCTCGTGTTCTTATTATTCAAACAGGGTTAAATGCACAATTGACCTCTCTAAATACAGATCCTAATGGTTAACCCAAAAACAAAAACTGTGCGGTTGGAATGCAGCATGATCGTAAAACAAAACCCTCACTGGTCTTACCAATAACAGCTTATACATTGTGACTGGCGAGAGTAATTAACGTTATACCCTAGTAGATATCAGAAAACAATATTCAAGATGTCAACAGGGAGATTGTATAATATATTTTATTTATTGACCATCATAACGTTTATTGACGGTAAGTAATATATAATAATTATTATACATTATATTAGTGGTAGGTTTGTTAAAGATACATTATGTAAGATTTAGATAAAGAGCTGACCATTCTTGCTTTTATAGCTCAAAAATATAATGTAAGATGAAAATATTGAAAATTTCATTCAAATTACTTTATTAGAGCGAAGTTATGACCATTTGAAGGTTAAGAGTTGATGTTTCATCATCCTACCAACGGTGCTTGACAACCGAGTTGTAGACTCGGTTATCACTGAAGATGCAGCGTAGAATATTTATTATACAAGTTTTTAAATCCCTCGGACGTGTTAATCCATTTAAATCTCCGCCGTCTGATGATCTATAGAGTTGATTATGGGCTTGGCATGTGAACAAATGTCTAAATAATCATTTATATAACATTTGAAGGCAAAACAAAGAATTAACTGCGGTCAATATTGGGATATTTCAATCCATATCTGACTTTGAAAATATGGGATCTTAATATCTAATATTTAAGACACAATGAACATTTTAAAACGAGTCGTGTACTCTATGGTTTCGGGTGCCATTTGTAATGAACAAAAGGGATTGTAGCTTAGGTTAAAGACGCTAAACCCTTAACTCATTATTATCGGTTAAACGTGAATTAAAATTCAATATTGGTCAATTTCAATCAATATTGGTGTTGTTATCTTGCCGTGAAAATGTGGCATCCTGATATCCAATATTTAAGACACAATGAACATTTGAATATGAGTAAACGAGTCGTGTACTGTATGGTTTCGGGTGCCATTTGTAACGAACAAAGAAAGACATATCCTACTACTAATGGCTGATTCACAAAGGACAAAATAATAGTTTTGTCTTACCTCAAGGAGTTTCCAACCAGCAGGCGTGTTATAACCGATGCGACATTACTGTTATAACTATTTAATTCTATCACAACTTTTAGTTGATGCGGGAACCACGGTGTCTAAGGCGTTGGCTCGCTACCATGGAGGTCCCGTGTTCGATCCCTGCGTTGGTCGAGTTTTCGCGAAAAGGTTTCTACTTGTCAGTGGTGCAGGACAGATGGGCTACAAGGCAAGAGTTTCGTATAGTCGTTCAGATTAGAAGAAAAACCGAGGTTCCGTATACATATTGGCTTGCACGTAAAAGAACCCTTGGCTGTAGCGCCACTGTCCTGGCAATCTTTTCCTCATAGCACACTGTATGTTGTAGACCCGTCTTCATTAGCCCAATCGGAGCAGAACAATAGGACGTTACACCCCATTTCATTTAATTTTCTTCAGTTGATGCCAAGATCGTAGCACGGGCAGCCTGCGATGACGACATGTATTTCTACGCGGATGGTGTTTTAATGGCAAATCACAGTGATTGGAAGATACCAACACAAATAGACCTTCCTGACAACACGGCAGTTATTGGAGTACATTGCGTGGACCGAGGAGGCTTTGCTGGTATCCACGTTACTTTCACTTTAAATAAACTTTATAAAACTGACACATCATGGAAATGTTCAGCAAAATTTGAAGAAAACTGGAGTACACCGGGGTAAGTTATTGAGTATATGTTTAAACACGACAGGGATGTTGGGTGAGGCATTAAATGGCAACGAATTTCACATTTGATAAAATATATTTAAACATCAAGGAGTCGCTAACTCGATCGCTTACCTTAAGGTCCCGTGTTCGATCCGAGAAAGTTCATCGTGATTTTCCGATCTGATTCCCCCTTGTCAGGATGGGACCAAAAAACGAGCTCACATTGACGTGCACATAAAAGAACCCTTGGCAGTTGGAATTCGATGTAAGAGTAGGCTTATGGGTGCCAGTGTTTGTTAATCCAGTCATTTCAACACATTGTCTCTCTCTCCTGAGGTGGTGGTGTTGGTGGTGGTGGGGGGGGGGCGTTGGATGGCCGAATGGTAAGCACGTGTGTGTTATATCATAAGGTCTGTCATTGAGTTAACTGGCGTAGTTTCGATCTCCAAGTTGTACGTGACAAGGAGTAGGGTCGCATGGCCAAACTCGTGGGTTTTCTCCGGGTCGTTCGGTTTCCTCCCACTGCTAAAGACCCCTACTCGCAAGCGAATTATTGAAATAAAATTGAACCATGTGTTAGTTCTGAAATGACCTAGTTTGTGTCGAGTGGACGTTACCCCCTCCCTCTCTCTCTCTCTCTCTCTCTCGCTCTCCTTTTGTATATTTAAAACTAAGAGATAAATGAGGAGTGGTTTATTTATAACAATATATATAGATAGTACTTCTAATGTTAGTCATACATGCTTTATCACACTTCCCCTCCTCGAAGAGTCTTTTCCTGTAGAGTTTATGTACTTAAACATTTACTATAACAAACAGTTGTATGATTATTGAAATATTTAGTTCTTATCAAGATCTCGGACTCAACTTTTATTTAGGTGCGGTTTCCTACAATCACAGACTTATAAACTAAAAGGATTAAAAAATAGTTAAAGATACGTTATGTAAGATTTAGATAAAGAGCTGACCATTCTTACTATAACAGCTCAAAAATAGATAATGTAAAATAAAATTATTGAAAATTTCATTCAAATTAATCCATTCTGAGTCAAGTTATGACTGTTTGTAGTTGTGTGCATTGTGGTAACCAGGACACCGGTATATTCGAGACGTAGCCTTTTTAAATTGCGAACCGATCTAATCTAGTTAAAATCCCGAGTATCCCATGCTATCGAGAGTTGATTATGGTCTTGTTTTGTTAATAAATGTCTAATTAATAGTTTATATAACATTTCATGCCTAAAGAAAGAGCTACAATGGGCAGATTTAGTTCTTGCATAATGTATGTTTAATAAATATCAGTTGTTTTTAAAAGTATTCTTTTCCCTTAGATATAAACGGAGAGTGATTTATTCGAATTTAACGTTTCGGATTAAAGGTCACTTTATCTTCGCTTCATTGTTTGATTCAGCATCTATACATATCTATCAGCATGCCTAGCCCCAGGCCCCCCGCCCCCGTTCCCTACTAATGAAATGAAATAAAAGCGAACCACGTTCGTAAATGACCTAGTTCGTGTCGGGTGGACGTTAAATCCTATCTGTCTGTCTGTCTGCCTGTCTCCCTCTCCGACAAAAACACCAATATCGTGACATAGATACCCTTTTTGATGACCTTTTCGTCCCCGTTAAGTCAAAGGGGGTTTGGATGGCCGAATGGTTAGCATGTGCGCGCTGTATCATTAGGTCTGTCATTGAATCAACTGGCGTGGTGTCGATTCCTAGGTTGTACGTGACAAAGAGTAGGGTCGCCTGTCCAACCCCGTGTTTTTTCTCCGGGTTCTCCGGTTTCCTCCTCTCTTTGTTTTAGGTTTGAGGACGGGAACTGGGATGCTGCTTCAATAGCGTATGAATCACACCACAAACGAACCGATTGGATATGGACATCTGGCTACAGAGGAGAAGACACAGATGTATATTGTAGGAAGAAAATACAAGGTTGGTCCCTTTATGATATTACTCTATTCATGCCACAAGTCCCTTTATCATATTAATCTATAGGTGACAAAAGTTCTAAGGAACAGCTATATCGGTTCCAACAAAATCAGTGCAGTCGGTCGTAAAATAAAAGCAGTCGGTATCAAAGTAAACGTTCACTGCATACGTCACGCTACTCACGCAACACTTTAGTATAAAATAACCTTGTCAACTTATGCTTGAAAAAATGTTGTGTTTCATTCTTATTCTGTTGTGAGTATGTTATTCTAAGGACAAAATTTTCCCAAGGCAGAAAAATAGTCGGTCTCAAAATAAGTGCAATCACTGCAGTCGGTCTCAAAATTATGCATACGTCACACAAAACTATAGTATAAAATAACCATGCCTGCTTGTCATGTCTGAAAAAAATGTTTTGCACTCTTATTCTTTTGTTAGGTGTTCTAAGAAATGTCCCCCCCCCAAAAAAAAAAGAGTGCTCACCGCAGTCGGTCTCAGACTAAATGAATTAAACAAACAGTGCCAAAATAGAAGGGAATAATTTTACGTGAATCCGTGCACCTCAATTGCAGCGGTATAGTATAAAATAACCTAGTCAGCATGTCATGTTTGAAAAAAAAATCCCTGTTATGAGAGAGAGAGAGAGAAATGGGGTTTAACGTCCACTCGACACAAACTAGGTCATTTCGGGACTAACATATGGTTTTTAATTTTATTTCAATAATTCGCTTGCGCGTAGAGGACCCGGAAAAACCCCACGAGGTTGGACAGGCGACCCTACTCCTTGTCACGTACAACCGGGGATTTGAAACCACGCCAGTCGACTCAATGACAGACTTTATGACACACCGCGCGCACGCTAACCATTCAGCCATCCACCCCCCTCGCTGTTATGAGTATGTTGGTCTAAGAAATATATTCTTGATTGTCATACGAATAATATTAGTCGAACAGTTGGAAAGAAGTTATCGGAAGCATAGTTTGTTTCAGAAATACGTAAAAAAATCTTTAAATTATGAAATTTTAAGGCGATCTATTGCACTTAAGAATTTTTACTTGTAGCATATTCAATCCCAGGAGAAATTGAAACGTATTTTACTCATGTAAGTGTTTTCTGACAATCAGAATTCTGCAAAATCTCTTCCCAAAGTCCAGGGCATTTCAGAGACCAAGTAAGCGCCCCATTGAGATAAAGTGCCCTCAGGACCAGTCCTCAAAAATCAAAAGCTCAGTTACAAATCGGCGCTCAATTCCATTATGTCATCATTCTTCAACTCCTCTGTCTTATACTATCTCATCACTATCATATTCACAGTTACAGTAAATCACCCAGTTAGTAGTACCATTAGTAAGTGGGTCGACAGACTGTAGAATTGTTATTTCTACTCTCACAAAACAGGCGAAATTGACAGATATGCCTAAAGATTCTGTCCCATTTCTTATCCTCTCGTTAACGAGAAATTGGTCCCATTTGCCATGACATTAACTAAAATGTTCAGGCCGAGTCCCAAAAAATCAAAAGCTCGGTTACATATCTGTATTTTTTTCGCGCCGGCGGCGCTCGATTCCATTATAACAGTCTTCCACTCCTCTGTTGTCTTATACTGTCTCAGCACTATCATATTCACGGTTATAGTCAACTGCCTAGTTATATTAGTAGTACCACTGATGTGTGGGTCGTAGGGCGTCGGACTGTACAAATGTTATGTTAACTCTTGCAAAACAGGCGGAATTGACAGGGAAAGATCTCGAGATTCTGTCCAATTGACTCACATTTCTGGTCCTCTCGTCCACAAGAATTTCTCCCAGCAATGACCCCAAATGCCAGGATATTGACTCAATTTTTCAAAATTTTCTCAGGTTGCTCAGTGTTATATGCACAATCATCATATTTGACATAAACTTTATGTCAACATAAATAAAACTGCTTTCCGGCGAGACAACGATCGGCGAACAACTATATAATTATACAATACTATCTACGTTCTACCAGTATTTTGTTGACATTCATTGTGGGGTGGGATTGTGGATGGCGCCCTAGATTTTGATCCGCCCCACCCCCACCCCCTTTTCCCAGCGTCTCGATCCGCTACTGCACGTGGCCCCTAGAAAACTCGTACTAGGGGTATGTGCATGCAGTGCGGTCGCATTTTGGCTAAACACCTCCCAAACAAAATCGTTATTAACGCCTCGGATTATAGAACAAGACAATATCACATTTACATAAATAAAACGTGATAACAAAGAGCGTGATCAAATATAAATAAAAAATGTGATTTGGATATTATCAGAATATAACACAGTTTCGTAATCAAGGACGTAGGTGAAGTCACTTTTTCTAAATTATAATATTGAAATAGCATTTTTTTCCTGTGTATATTATAGATCAACCAATAATAAGAGAATTAAAATCAGATGCTGTTGACAACATAATAGATGAAAACTCCAGTGTTACTATTGACTGTTTGGTTGAAAGTATCCCGGCGGCACGTGTATCATGGTCCAGATCACAACAAGGGGGCCAACTCTATTCTGGTAGTCAATATACCATACCGAAAGCTAGTTGTCAACATACAGATAACTATACCTGTACAGCTAGTAATAATATTGGCCAACCTGTATCTAAAACTATTCCACTCGTTGTCAGATGTAAGTATACAAGTATACAATCTAGTAAGCGGAGATTATGTCACTCTTGCGATCCGATACGGCGATGTGTGATTACGTTTGATGCAAAATATAACTGAGAATTGCATGAACAAGGTGACGTGAGTGGTCTTGCGATCGGATATCCTCTGGAATACTATCCTATGCAGTAATTGTTTGTCCCATGGGTTTCCGGTCTTCAATAGCCCAGTCGGAATAGAACGGTAGGACTTTAAACCCAATTTCATTTCATTTATCTCATGGGTTTGCGGCGGACACTGATACCCAGGATGTAAACCGGAGAAATGATATTTGGTCAGAAGAGCGTCAAAAGTATTGTCAACCGCCAGCACCGAGTCGACATTAGTTTTACTAATCTAATATTCATTTTCACTGACAAATTGTTGTGATATTGTAGGTACCCCAGTTATGACTACCCAGGCTATAGTTGTTATAACTATGGATGTCGATGACAAGCCGTGTAAAGAGGACGATGACAAGCTAGGAGTTGGTATAGCTATAGGTGTTGGTATTAGTCTGGTTGTTTCCGGTGTCTTATCTGTTATTATATGGGGTATCAGGAAGAGAAGAGATGCCATCATGTGTAAGTTTGCTATATCTTTCTTGGTTCCTAGACAAAGCATCACCTCTGTTGAGGTCAATATGAAATGAACGGAAGTGGGTTGTAACGTTCTGCATTTACATGGCTAAATAAGACGGGAGTCATGCTGAACCATAAAGGCTTCTACCAAACAAAGTTATTTGCAACACGCGAACATCAAGGTCAAATATAATTCCACAGTTTGCTAAAGAGACTGTTGTCGTGCACGATTTACGTAGGATTATCTTTCTAAAACTCCGAATACCACTCCTCATTTGGTGTGCAGAGAAATGAACGTAAATTGACCTTTCGGTATATTGGCGAAAGTAAAGTATATTTATTTGTTTTCATACGAACGTGTGAAATGCGAGGGGCGGTTGGGTATATTGACTATGAAATGGTGATCGGGTTATTTAGTTCAATTTTGTTAATTTTCAGCAAATGATGGACACGGTATAAATGACACAGTAAGCTCCCAGTCCAGAGATATTACCACCAGATATTGTAATAGTCCTGTAGACACTGATGATTCTGGAAAATATGTAAACACTCTATATACCTCTACTTCCTCCGACTACGAAGGACTGGATGAGCACCAACCGAACATCTATCTACCACTCTCGAACAAGAGACTGGGTCATTGAGTCTTATCTCAATACACACAACCACATGGTCAAACTTACGAAATGACTGGATGACCAAACTATCGACAAACAACAAATCTCTCGGACCTTCTTCAACTAAAGAATGGAACAAATTGGAGAGTTTGTGTTAATATATTGACAATACAACCAATAATTTATCAGTTATATTTGTTAACTTGTATTATTATATTAACTGAATGTATTAATGTAATGAAAACAATAAAATTCTTTAAAAACATAATTCATATTAATATACCACATATTTAAATTATTGGTTGTTTATAATATAAAAATACATTAAATACTGTAACCATTGTTTAAAATTTTATTACCAAACTGATTATTATATGATTATAACTCTGGGTTAACCTAACGTATTTATATTATTATAATAACTAAAAAACTTACTGCAAGTTACGGTGGCTGATAAGGGACATGAAAAATAATATAATTTGTTTTTTTATAATTTTCACCCAAGTCAATTTTAATTTTCACCCAAGTCAATTTTAATATAATTTGTTTTTTATAATTTTCACCCAAGTAAATTTTAATATAATTTGTTTTTTATAATTTTCACCCTAGTCAATTTTAATTTCCACCCAAGTCAATTTTAATATAATTTGTTTTTTATAATTTTCACCCAAGTCAATTTTAATATAATTTGTTTTTTTATAATTTTCATCCAAAGTCAATTTTAATATAATTTGATTTTTGTAATTTTCACCCAAGTCAATTTTAATTTCCACCCAAGTCAATTTTAATTACCACCCAAGTAAATTTTGATATAATTTGTTTTTTATAATTTCCACCCAAGTCAATTTTAATTTTCACCCAAGTCATTTGTAATATAATTTCAATTCTGTTGAATTTCCACCCAGCGCGTGACGTCATCTCAATTAGCCTCGTTTCCAATGTAATGCATTATGTTTTATCTTATATGGTTCTCATACTGTAATTAGCAGATTGCAATGTATTATGTTTTACCTTATATCAAATAGATATTTTTATACGCCCACATTTTCATATGGACGTATATTGTCGTCACCCCTCTCCGTCCGGACGTCCATCCATAATTTGTTTGTGGACACTATACAGGTCACAATTCTTATCCGATTTTTACGAGACTTGAAATATAGGTTTTACTCCAAAAGATCTAGGTTCCTTTCGATATTGGCATGTATCGGATTGAAACTTTATGAATTATGGCCCCTGATTGTACGAAAAGTCACCTTTTTTTAGCGTGTGGACACTCTAGAGGTCACGATTATCATCTGGTTTCTTTCGATATTCGCCCTCATCGGATCTTAACTTACGACCCTTGATTGTACGAAAAATCTCGTTTTTAGCTTGTGGTCCCTCTATAGGTCACAATTTGTATCCGAATATATCACCGTTACGCCCTAATGATGATTGAGTTCGAGTTTTCTGAAAATCTGACCGAAACTGCCGGACAAAATGGTCGCCCCTCGTACGCAAACTTTGAGAGAGAGAGAGAGAGAGAGAGAGAGATGGGGTTTAACGTCCACTCGACACAAACTAGGTCATTTCGGGACTAACATATGATTTAATTTTATTTCAATAAGTCGCTTGCGCGTAGGTGTCTTTAGCAGTGGGAGGAAACCGGAGGACCCGGAGAAACCCCACGAGGTTGGACGCAAACTTTGATGAAACTTAAAATATATATCCCAAATATCTCAGTCCATGTCGATATTCGCGCATTTCAGACCATAACTTCATGGATTATGGCCCCTGGTTGTATGAAAAATAGCTTTTTTTATTGCTTGTTCTCAATCCACCTCTTGCAAAATATGGGCGTATCTTGCCTGACAACCGCTGGTTCTCATACTGTAATTAGCAGATTGCAATGTATTATGTTTTACCTTATATTAAAGAGATATTTTTCTCATTCTATAATTACATGTATCAGATTGTAATAGATTATGATTTACCTTATATCAAATATTTATTTTTCTCATACTTTTATTATCAGTTCTTGTTTAAATTATATATGTCACCAGAAAAGCAATTACTAGTGTAATAAAGATTTTTGATATTATAACATGATGACTTTTTAGGTGAACACAAGCAGGCCTGTCAGCGTATCAGAGCCAAAAATGAGGCCTGTAATTACATTTGATTTATATATACTTTATGGACTGAAATTATCACAAGATCTCTAAATCAAAGGGAAGAAATCTTGACTTTCATTAAATGTTCAGAATTGAAAGGGGGGGGGGGCGAATAGTGAACGTGTGTGCATTGCATCATAATTCAAATGGCGTGGTTTTGATTTCCCGCTCGTACGTGGCAAGGAGTAGGGTTGTTCGTCCAGTACTCCAGTTTCCTTCAATTACTAAAGACCACTGCAAACAAACTGACTATTGAAATGAATGAGTTATAGTCCTGAAATGACATAATTTGTGTCGAGTGGATGTTACGCAACAAAATATCGATTCAAGTATCTTGCGAAAACCTCCCTGGGGAGATTTGCTATATAAAATAGGTCTATATTGGAAAGTGTAATAAACTTTTTTTTTGAAAATATCCAAAAATTAAACTGAAGGAAACACCAAATCCAGTTGAAGTGCCCCAAGTCCAAGAAAAGAGACCCTCTGTGTCCTGTAAGAAATGAGGCCCTTTGACTTGATGGCAAAGCTATCTGTGTCTGTTTCCAGTAGTAAGGTCAAGATCCATGCGTGTGACCCATCATTCATTAGTGCACATAGGCCAAGTTGTTTTTTTGTTATCTCTTGCCAACAAACTGCGCTAAATTCTATGTCTGGATGTTCGGTAGCGTTGTCTATGATGGGTGCTTATATCAATATCAAGGCGATATTGGCGAGCATGTAAAATAACTCTTGACAGTTGCAATTTCACGTCGAGCCGCTGACAGAGGAAAATTTCCCTTCTGGCATACTGTATTCAGTAACCCAGTCGGAGTAGGACGTTAAACCCCCATTTCATTTTATTTCAATACGTATCACTGTCAGATCCCGACTAAGATTGTGTCGACCCCTGCACGTTTATTTTCCCAATGGCGGGCGAAAATTATTGTTTTGGAAACGAGGCTAATTGCGATGACATCACGCGCTGGGTGAAAATTCAACAGAATTGAAATTATATTACAAATAAATTGGGTGAAAATTAAAATTGACTTGGGTGGAAATTAAAATGACTTGGGTGAAAATTATAAAAAATAAATTATATTACAAATGAATGGGGTGGAAATAAAAATTGACTTGGGTGAAAATTATAAAAAAACAAATTATATTAAATTTGACTTGGGTGAAAATTATAAAAAAACAAATTATATTAAATTTGACTTGGGTGAATATTAAAAAAATACAAATTATATTATTTTTCATGTCCCTTATCAGCCACCGTAGCAAGTAGACTTATATTGTTATAACAACTGTAAAGTAGTATATATCTCACCATTAGATATTTGCTTGGAAACGTTGCAGTATAATAAACCAAGTGATTGTATCCATACTAAGTGTTCTTTTATTATATCATAAATCAATTATTCTATAACTACACTGGTTTATTATATCAGGAGAATATTATTCTATAACTACACTGGTTTATTATATCAGTAGAATATTATTCTATAACTACACTGGTTTATTATATCAGGAGAATATTATTCTATAACCACAGTGGTGTATTATATCAGGAGAATATTATTCTATGACTACACTGGTTTATTATATCAGGAGAATATTATTCTATAACTACACTGGTTTGTTATATCAGGAGAATATTATTCTATAACTACACTGGTTTATTTGATAAACTTGTGTTTTTATTGTTTATAAAATAAACTTGTAGTGTTATTGTATATTACTGAGTATTATTAAAGTATTATTTGTAGAGTATTTTGTAAGTAAAACTAATACCCTGTGTTATTGTGTTTAAAGTGTTCATGTCTTGTTATTTACCATAAATAAAATATCTCTTATAGAAATATATTCATTCTTTACCAGAAATAATAGAAACGTATCCATTCTTACAGGGTATTTATACGCCCATGTGGACTTATATTGTCGTCACCCCTGTCCGTCCGCCTGGACAGTCTACAGGTCACAATTATTATCCGATTTTGATCAAACCTGAAATATACATTTATCATACAAAGATCTTGTTTCCTTTTGATATTGGCATCTAACCGTAACTTCATGGATTATGGCCCCTGGTTGTACGAAAAATCACGTTTGTAGCTTGCGGACCCTTGTATCGTAGTGATATCAGATATCAGTTTAGTAAATATATGATTTATTTACATCGGAATATAAAACAACTACATAAATACAACAGGAACTATACTATACCAGGAACATAAACGATAACATTAACATGGTACATTAAGACCTTGGCAGCGGCTGAACTCGGATGAGTCCGTACGACGGTCTCTCCATTTCTCTTCCTCCCGTCTCTCTGTCAGCAAACACCTGGTTATATAGCCTCCGACGATATGGAAAATAGACAAGACTCATGATCATATATAGAATTGTCTATTTATCATGTCATGGTATGATTACTGACCAGTGCGTATTCCTTTGAAGTCATGCGGAGCTTGTACACAGATCATATGTAGTTTGTAAATGACACATGAGATTAATTACATGTTTAATTAGACCATGGCCAGTTCGTGCCTTAACAGTTAAAAATATTAAGGTAATTTACACCAATTCGGGTGGAAACCAATTTCCACTTAAATAGGGGTAACTCGTAGCCTTTAGTAGTGTAACCCGATAACACCCATCTAGTGTAGAACATTACACCAATTCAAGTTGAAAGTGGTTGCCACATCCAGTAGTGTAACCTGCCTGATGCACTCAGACAGTGTAATGTTACACCCGTTGGTGTAGATTAAGCATTATCCCTCAAGGATGGTTCGTAAATTATACCTCCATTTTACTTATTACACCAACGCGGGTCTAATTTGTTTTGTTGAATATTAATTTCAAGCCAACGACTCCCAAGTTCAGAAACATTAGTTGTCACACCCTCTAGAAGTCACAATTTTTTATCCGATTTTAAAAAGTGTTTAAATATGACAACTGGCGTGAAAATAATAGAAGATTTAATCATTTGAAATAGAAGATGGGTAAACGTAAATGCAGCTGCCAGGGCAAAATTCTCAACCACCGCATGGTAACGTTACCATAACGTGTATTCCTACTCTTTAATATAATGCAGAAACCACAGTTTTTAATATATATTTTTTCATTGAAGTGAAGCATTCGAGTAATAAGAGGTCGAATCCTGTCAAATTTCAACGATCTGCGACCGTCTGTTATGGAGTTGAACCACCTTTTCTGAAAACCTTGTGAATGTGGCAGGGGCTACTGATTTGAACAGATTGTTTAAAAATTTCGCGTCAATAATAAAAACAAAGCCCAACAATTTTCACATTCTGCGACCTTCCATTCCAGACTTATGCACCCTATAATAATAATAATAATAATAATAATAAATTCTTTATTTTCAAAAAGGGTGAAAAATTAGGCTTTGCAGCCTGTTTGCAATTCTGCCCTTAAATGATAATAGACAAAACAAACATACACATATATTATACATACAAGGAAACTGAATAATGAAAATGTATTCTTTACATTCCAAATAACATCAAATGCAGAAACCGATAATGGTTTAAATTTAAATATACAGAATAGTTATATAACATTTTGGATATAATTATGCAGTGATTTTTTAAAAGTTGAGAGAACATGTAAATTATTTAGAAGTGAATTCCATAAAACTGGACCATTATAACTAAGACTATGTTTAAATTTAGCACAAATTGGATGTGGAATTTGTAATTTAAGATTTATAGAGTTGTAAGGGGTATTTTTAAATTGAAATAAGGAACACAAGTAATTTGGAATGGTAGGCAGTTTTAAAGATTTTGAAAGAATGGAATATGAAGAACCAGAAGAATTATTTTTAATAATAGGTTTGTTGAATATAATTTTAAATGATAATTTTTGGATAATTTTAAGTTTATGAAGAGAAGAAATTTGACAGGAGTCCCAAATGGTAGAGCAGTCAAGATGTGATTGAAAGTGAGCGTTATAAAATAATGTTAATACATCAGTTGGAAGTAATGATTTGATTTTCCTAAGTTGAAAGTTTTTCTATTTTTAAAATAGTACATAAATGATCCTTATAAGACATATAGAAATAGATTTCACTAAAAATAACACACTAATATGGATATACTACTTCTGAATTTTATTAACATGCTACGTTTCAATACTCATACAGGTTTTTTTTTTTTTTACGGTATTTCTTATTATGTTATTTATATATTAATTTCTTTATTGCGTACGCTCTCTATTATTCAAATAGCATTGGTTAGTATATTGTTTTGTTCATTAGATGAATTACGGCTAATAGATTCTTTCATTTTTTAGGTAGGTTTGGACGTTTTGTTTATAGACTTTTATTGCCTCACATTGTACGAAGATATGTGTAAATGTTTCCTCATATTTCATGCATAGGCTGCATCTATTGTTACTATATATAGATTTATCTCGTATAATAATTGTTTTGTAGGCAGTGCTTGGTGTGTTATGAGAATTACGAGGTCATAGTCGAAAAGGGTATAGGGCATACTAGCAAGTTGTTTCCATGTTTTAAAGAAGTCTATTGTTGGATATTTGTACATAATACTTGGTTTAATAAAGTCTAATTTGTTTAGTTCATTGTAGATATTTTTTAATTTTGGTGTGCCAGTAAGATTTTTTTATCGCGATAGTGAAGGTAAGTAGTTTTTATGTTTTTTTTATAAATTTGTGGTGTATTTACTGTATGTGATAGTTTGTTGGATGCTAACCAAGGCAGTATTCCTTTAAGAGTGTATCCAAACCAATATGCAAAGAGATTAGTCCATGGGTTTGTGTTATTTTTCATGATTATTATTCTTAGGAATGCCATTGCCCTTATTTTATTTTCTATGTTAGGCACATCTAGACCGCCCATTAAGAATGGTTGGTGTAGTGTCATCGATATATCGATGATGTTCTATCACTGCATAATCCAAAATTTAGTGATTATGTAGAATTCATATATACTGATGAGCTCGAAATTAAAAATACTACTGACAGTGACAATTACGCTTCCTACTTGGATCTGCGTCTCGATTTTGACAATTGCCATAAACTTAGTGTTAAATTGTACGATAAACGTGATGACTTTGACTTTCCGATTGTTAACTTTCCATTTATTAGTAGTAACATTCCAATATCACCTGCTTATGGAGTGTTTGTGTCTCAACTAATTCGTTACGCGAGAGCTTGTTCATTTTATTCTGATTTTTTAAGTAGATCGAGGCATTTGTCATCTAAGCGTCAACTACAGGGATACTTGCGAACCAAACTTATTAAAACCTTTAAAAAGTTTTCTGGGCGTCATATTGACTTGATTGGTAAATATAACATGTCTCTCTCGGCTATTATTCTAGATATATTTAATTGACACGTATACAATCTCCCTGATTATGTCTGTCTACTACATCGTTAACACTGTTCATCACGTGCATTTTGCATACCGATAGTCTATTGGCCAATCACGCTATTTTACCGAGATTTCGCCTAATAGTTTGGATGCAGCTATGGCGGGTGTTGCGCCAGGCAGGGTAAGCTTACTCTTCCGGACACCTGTTACCACTGTTTGTCGTGTATTTTGTACACGTTGAACAGTCCATATGCTGATTACACCATTTTGCCTTATTACACTATTTTGCCTATACCGTTTTTTTAGGGCTTTGAATTTTGTCTAATGGATTGGATTGTTGGTACTTGGTTTTATTGTATTTGATAGTTTCTGGTGTGTCTTGGTAAATAAATCTAAATATTTCTTTATTTATAGATTTTATAATGTGTTTTGGTGGTGTGATAATTCGACATGTGTACCATAATTTACTGAGTATGTAAGTATTTAATACTAAAAGTCTATCTTTTATTTTTAGTTTATATTTTATCCATTTATCTACTAATTTTCTTAGTTTTGCCAGTATGGGTAGCCAGTTTTTTTCAATATTGTTGTGACCAAACCATATTCCTAGGAGTTTTATTTGTGTTTTTATATTTATTTGTGGAATATCTTTTCTATGTATAGTAATGTTATTTATTTTTATTATTTCAGTTTTTAATGGATTTAGTTCTGATGCAGAAGCAGACCCAAATGATTCTATGTCTTCTATAAGGGAAGTGTATGATGTACTGTTTGTTATAATTGAGGATAGATCATCTGCATGTTGAAATAGTTTTATTCCTGCGGACGTGTTTGGGATATGGATTCCTTTTATGCAATTGTTCTGGTTTATTTGTACCGCAACAGGATTTATAGCAAGGCAGTATATTAACATTGATAAACAACACCCTTGCCTTATCCCTCTTGTTACATTAATCTCCCTTGTAAATGAGCCATTTACCTGTACACTACTGACAATGTTTGTATAAATTATGGTAATCCATATTATAATGAAATCTGGGAAGTTGTATTTTTGTAGTAACTTTATAATGTAGTTGTGTTCTATCATGTCAAATGCTTTCATTTCATCAAAGCTTAGGAGTAACCCTGGTATATTTTTTTCTTCCATGTTTGTAATAATACTATGAATTGACATTAGGTTATTTAATATAGATTTCCCTTCTCCCGCCCCTGATTGGAGTGGGGATATTATTTTATTCAACATCGGTGTTAACCGATTAGCAATAATTTTTGTTAATATTTTGTAGTCCTGACATAATAGACTTATAGGTCTATAATGTTTCAAATAGTTGGAGTTGCCCTTCCCTTTATAACTGATATTTATTATCGCTTCTTTCATTGTAGGTGTGAGTTCACCCTTGAGATATATGTTGTTCAACACCTCTACAAAGTCATCACC